AAGTCCTCGAGTTCATCCAGTTTCTCTCTGACCTTTAACCCTCAGCTCATTCGGGGCCTAGGACCCTCAGCCACCCAACGCCATCCCCACATCGCCAACCTGCAGACCCAGGCCCACCAGCCAACACGCAAAGCCTCCTCCAGGAAAAGCAGGCGCTTTCACGGCACACGCACTGGTAGCAGCGCCAAGGCCCCCTTCCCATGGACGGTGCGGGCAGGGAGGCTCGGAAGCCTCTGGTCGGAGCCCCTGGACCGGGAGACCTGCGCTCTGGCTAGCCTGAACCCACCGCTCAGCAGCCATCCTGGCCCGCATTTCAGAGTGAGTCTAGGTGTTACCTAAGCATCAGACAAGAAGCCTGACCCAGGCTTGACCTGGACCCCTCCCAGGTCCTGGAGCCTAAGGAAAAAAGTAATGAACTACCTTCCAAGGTCAAATGCCCCCTTCTACCCTGTCCCCCAGTCCCAGCCACACCCAACCACCTTCACCACGTCTTCCAGATCTACCCACAGCTGTGCCATCATACATAAATGTCTCTCCGTGGACACATGTTTACTAAATTTATTTATTGAAAACGCCACCACAATAAATAGAATGCCAGTACCACCTGTCATACACAGGTAGCCAACAAAAGCAGGGCTATAAAAGTTGGGAAACTTTTCCCACCTGCCCTAAGCCCACGGCCTGTTCCCAATTTAGAGGGGAAGTCAGCACGGGGTCAGAGGCATGGAGAACATGTTGGCACCAAGCTGGGGCTGTCTCCTTGGCATAAGAGGATTGAAGACAATGGGAAGGGCATCCTGTTCTTGCTCTTTGTGCTTAATGCAGGCCCGATACTACCGAAAACATCGCAGGGGAGTGAGGGTATCCACCGATACGCTGGGACTGCTGAACTAGAGGTTCCCTCGGCATCATGCTAACACCGCGTGGAAACAGCATTCTCCGAGCACACCTTCAAGGCACCGCCAGGTTCCCCTCCTCGTGTGCCTGTTCTCACACCGAGGCCTGGCAACTCCCTCTCCCCACGCCTGCCCCCAGCAGAGGTCACCGCTGACTCAGGTGGGACACCAGGTAGACGAGGCCCACCAGCAGGAGGCCGCGCACGCCGAGCATCATGAGCAGGAAGAGCAGCAGGATGGAGGTCACCGGCTCCACGGCGTGGTTGCCGAGATGCCACTGGGGGAAGCCCATGTTCACCAGCTGCCGGTTGAGGTCATTGAAGGGGGACTGAGCAGCGCCCAGCCTGGCTCCCCCCTGCTGCTGCTGCCGGAGGCCGGGACCCCCCAGGGGGGCACCATGGCCCCTGTTGAGGAAGCTCTGGAAGGTGAAGACAGAGAAAAACGAGTGAATCCAGAGAAAGCTTCTCTGGAGGAGAGGACCGAGCAGAAGGGAACCCTGTGGGCCGGCCCTGCCCTCCCCTCATCACCCAGGGCCACACCCTCCTTCCTCAGCAATCCCCAGATGCCACCCACAGGAATTCCAGCGATTGAGTCACAAGCTCTCAGGGCACAGAAACTGCATTGCCCATGTGGTGCCAGGAAGAAGGTGCCCAGGACAGAGGAGAGAGAAAGGGGTCAAGGTGGGTTAGACTACTGGGCTGAGCACTCGGGCAGGCATGTTTAACACTCCTCACTCTTCCTTTGAAGTCAACATTGGGTGGCCACAGGCTCATCTCCTCCACTGACTCTCCAGCTTCTCTCTCACCCAACAGACTCTTAAGAAAGATGCCGGCTCCAGTGGAGTTTGCTAACCAGCTTACAGAAGGGAGAGCTCTTGGGTTTGAAGTCTGGGAAGGCTGCCAGCAGGAGGAAGAGCTAGGGAGGCAAGGGGCTGGGCAATCCATCTACCGCGGGTTTTCACCAAGTTTTGACCACCGCCCCTCCCCATCCAGCTCAGCTCTCTGCAAAGAGAACTTGAGGTTAGAAGTTAATGACCAGTGAGCTAAGGAGTAACTGGTTCAGAAGACAGAGGATAGCTGCTCCCCTTCCATGGGGCGAGGCACCCACCTGTCGAGGGGTGCTGTTGCGTGGGGGGGCAGTGGTCCTCACGCGGGGGTCGTCATCCTGCACGATGTCCCCATTGGCCAAGATCCGCACCATCCTCCCAGGAGTGCGGGTCCCTGCGGGGTGGCACCTCTCCTCGGACCTCAAAAGGCTGAAAACACACACACACAAAAAAAACAAAACACCAATTTACCAGAGATAGAGAGATGCTTGTTTTCAATGGGAGAAACTGCAATTCTGGGGGCTCACACTGGTGACCCGTCCTGAGCAGGCACTGGGTCTGATTAGTAAAAAGGAGAGAAATAAATGCAAGTTATTTGCTGGAGGAAAACCTTTCAGATAGTGAGTGCACTGGGGAGACTATTAGGAGGATCCTTGGAGAAAGAGGCTGTATTATTACCCACTGCTGCTGGCAGAGACCCTCCCTGTGGCCCAGGCGCTGTGGCAGGTCCGCAGAGGCTGGTCTCACACCTCCCTCACTCCCCTGGCGCAGGTCCCGCTAAAGGTGTGACTAGCTGGCCCAGGAGCAAAGACCTTCTCTGGGTCGTAAATAAGGAGTGCAGGGACCAAAATCCCCAGGTTCTCCACCTCCTTCTGTTCAAATACTGCTCCACTGTGCTGTTCCTTAGGAGGTGCATGCCGAGACCTGAGCTCTCCTCCCCAGGAGATCGGGCTCATGGCAGGGCCTCTCTAGCTCCTCTGCCTGGCAGCAGAGGGCACTGGTGGCCACAGCCCCGGAGCTGGGCGGAGGAACAGACCTGCAGAGGGCACGCCCCTCACCTGTCCCAGTCCCTCCTTTGCTAACTGGAGGGCAGGGCCCGCCTTCCCGAAAATGGGGTGGGGGGTGCCTCTGTGAAAATGGGAGAGCCCCATTCCGCAGACCCCAAGGGTGTCCCTTCGGCTGGAAGTGGGGGTGGGGATCCTTCCATGTCTCTTCCGAGTCTGTATAAAGGCCATTCGCTCCCCCCCAACCCCCTCCAAGGAGCCGAGCCACAGTTTTCATTTAAATTCCCAAAAGCACTCGTGACACCCAAGCCAAAAAGGGTTAGTAGCGCCCGTCTCTTGCCCGCGGCCTGGCCCTGCAGAAGGCCAAGTGGGTCCCAGTCCCCGAAGTCCCCTGTGCTTGGTCATCCGACCCCCTGCGTGGGCTGTGGGCGCCGCCCGCCCTCGGTGCACCTGACCCTGATGGGGGAAGGGGTGCTCCCGGGGCAGGAGGGGC